GTCAGCTGGAAGAATAAAATCCCTTCCTGCTTGCTCCTTGCATTCCTCTCCTGGGAGAATGGCGACCCGTAGCGGCTTGTGCTGGGCAGCTGTGCACAGATGGGGTCTCTGATTCTTGCCCTGGCCCCTGTGGAGCTCCGTGTGTTTGCTATGTGCTTGGCTGCGCCATATGGGGATCGGGTGGGAGGCTGTTTATAACCGGTGGGGCCTCATAGATGTGCTGCTTCCCAGGGGGTTAGGGCACCCGTAGTTCCCCGGGATTCCCAGCTGCTGGGCTGAGTGTCCCAGGATGCTTCCGTCCAGCTGTGAGTCTCCTGTCCCTTTAAGACTTTCAAAAAGCACTCGCTTTTCTTTTCTTCCAGGGGCGCCAGCTGCAGGGACCCACTCGCAGTTTTTACTGTCCCATTTCCCTAGTATCCAGAACACCACACACTGTGTGTCTGTGCTCCTGGTGCGGGTGACTATGGCTGGTATTTAGCAGTCCTGGGCTCCCTCTCCCTCCCCGCTCCAACTCCTCTCCTCCTGCCTGGAGCTGGGGTGAGGGGTGCTCGGGTCCCGCTGGGCTGGGGCTTGCATCTTACCCCCTTCATGAGGCGCTGGGTTCTCACAGGTGTGGATGTGGTCTAGATGTTGTCCTGTATCTTCTGGTCTCTCTTTTAGGATTAGGTGTATTTGTTGTATTTTCAAAAATATATGTTTTTGGGAGGAGATTTTCACTGTCCTCCTCATGCTGCCATCTTCGCTCCTCTCCCCTCTGTCCACTTTTTAACCAGGCATCTTTTTTTACTTTTTCTTTTTTTGCTATTTAGTTTTATGAGTCATCTTTTATTTATGAAAAGCATTAATATCCAAAATATACAGATAACTTGCAAATATTTCTCCCATTTGGCAGGTTGCCTTTTCATTTTGTTGGTAGGTTTCTTCTGCTGTAGTTCCACTTACCTATTTCTACCAATGTTTTCTTCTAGGAGCTTTATGGTTTCAGGTTTTATGGTTAAGACTTTCATCCACTTTCAGTTAATTTTTGTATACTGTGAGAAATAGTAATCATGTTTCACTCTTTTGTATGTGGCTGTTCAGTTTTCCCAACACCATTTATTGAAGAGACTGTCATTTTCCCACTGTATGTTCTTGGTTCCTTCTATCAGAAATTAATTGACCCTATATACATGGGATTTTCTGTACTCTGTGTTCTGTTCACTATAGCTTTGAAATATAGTTGGAAATCAGGGAGTGTGATACCTCTAGCTTTGCTGTTCTTTTCTCAAGATTGCTTTAGGTAGTATGGCCTTTTTAATAATAATCTACCAGCCCATGAACACAGAATAGCTTTCCAAGTAGTTCTATCTTTTTATCAGTATTTTGCAGTTTTAGCATACAGTTCTTTTACCTTCTTGGTTAAATACAGACCTAGGTCTACTTTTTGATGCAACTGTAAATGGGATTGTTTTCTAATATAACACACCATCTGCAAATAGTGACAGTTTCGGTTCTTTCTTTCTGATTTGGATGCCTTTTCTTGTTTAACTGCTCTGGCTAGGAATTCCAATACTACATTGAATATGGAAAGCTGTATTTCTCATTACAAAATTCTGGGGACTTCTTTTCCTAGAATTTTTCTTTGGCTAAAACAGTCCTCTCACCCTCATTCCACTTTACTGTCAGTTTGGCCAGAGGGTATACTGCCATAGTTAGTCATAATAGATATTTTCTGTTGAGCATAAGGATTTGGTTTAGATGAAAGGAACACAGAAGTGGCATTTCTATTGAGATTTTTATTCCTAGGTTAACCCAGTATTTCAATAAACTTCTGAAAAAGCTGAATAATGGAATATAATTGCCATCTTTTTTCCTTCTCGAATTTGCTTTCTATAGCTTATCCTTGAGAATAGCTCCTTATAAAAAATCTTTATTGAAGTATAACATTTATAAAAAGTACACAAGTGGGTATATAGCACCAGTAAATTTATCTATGTAACTGGCAACCAGATAAAAAAAAAGGAACTTTACCAATGTGCTCCTGGTGCGGGTGACTATGGCTGGTATTTAGCAGTCCTGGGCTCCCTCTCCCTCCCCGCTCCAACTCCTCTCCTCCTGCCTGGAGCTGGGGTGAGGGGTGCTCGGGTCCCGCTGGGCTGGGGCTTGCATCTTACCCCCTTCATGAGGCGCTGGGTTCTCACAGGTGTGGATGTGGTCTAGATGTTGTCCTGTATCTTCTGGTCTCTCTTTTAGGATTAGGTGTATTTGTTGTATTTTCAAAAATATATGTTTTTGGGAGGAGATTTTCACTGTCCTCCTCATGCTGCCATCTTCGCTCCTCTCCCCTCTGTCCACTTTTTAACCAGGCATCTTTTTTTACTTTTTCTTTTTTTGCTATTTAGTTTTATGAGTCATCTTTTATTTATGAAAAGCATTAATATCCAAAATATACAGATAACTTGCAAATATTTCTCCCATTTGGCAGGTTGCCTTTTCATTTTGTTGGTAGGTTTCTTCTGCTGTAGTTCCACTTACCTATTTCTACCAATGTTTTCTTCTAGGAGCTTTATGGTTTCAGGTTTTATGGTTAAGACTTTCATCCACTTTCAGTTAATTTTTGTATACTGTGAGAAATAGTAATCATGTTTCACTCTTTTGTATGTGGCTGTTCAGTTTTCCCAACACCATTTATTGAAGAGACTGTCATTTTCCCACTGTATGTTCTTGGTTCCTTCTATCAGAAATTAATTGACCCTATATACATGGGATTTTCTGTACTCTGTGTTCTGTTCACTATAGCTTTGAAATATAGTTGGAAATCAGGGAGTGTGATACCTCTAGCTTTGCTGTTCTTTTCTCAAGATTGCTTTAGGTAGTATGGCCTTTTTAATAATAATCTACCAGCCCATGAACACAGAATAGCTTTCCAAGTAGTTCTATCTTTTTATCAGTATTTTGCAGTTTTAGCATACAGTTCTTTTACCTTCTTGGTTAAATACAGACCTAGGTCTACTTTTTGATGCAACTGTAAATGGGATTGTTTTCTAATATAACACACCATCTGCAAATAGTGACAGTTTCGGTTCTTTCTTTCTGATTTGGATGCCTTTTCTTGTTTAACTGCTCTGGCTAGGAATTCCAATACTACATTGAATATGGAAAGCTGTATTTCTCATTACAAAATTCTGGGGACTTCTTTTCCTAGAATTTTTCTTTGGCTAAAACAGTCCTCTCACCCTCATTCCACTTTACTGTCAGTTTGGCCAGAGGGTATACTGCCATAGTTAGTCATAATAGATATTTTCTGTTGAGCATAAGGATTTGGTTTAGATGAAAGGAACACAGAAGTGGCATTTCTATTGAGATTTTTATTCCTAGGTTAACCCAGTATTTCAATAAACTTCTGAAAAAGCTGAATAATGGAATATAATTGCCATCTTTTTTCCTTCTCGAATTTGCTTTCTATAGCTTATCCTTGAGAATAGCTCCTTATAAAAAATCTTTATTGAAGTATAACATTTATAAAAAGTACACAAGTGGGTATATAGCACCAGTAAATTTATCTATGTAACTGGCAACCAGATAAAAAAAAAGGAACTTTACCATAAACAACTTAAACCTCTTCACATCCCCTTCTAGGCACTGGCTTTGCCCCTGACCTACGTGGGTTAGTAGCCTCTATCATGACTTTGAATACTGAGTTGATTTTTGCTTGTTTTGAACTTTATTAAAACAGAATAACAGCTTTTATTCTCCTTTGCCTGGCTTCATTCATTATTATATTTCAGAGATTCATTTTTTTGGTAACAAACAAAACATTCTGAAGGGATAATTGATCATTGTTTCCCTTCCTTACTGCTGACACCTAGAGTAACTTTAATTTGTCTTCAAATTCCTAACCACAAAATAAGTTCTTGAATTAAAGCACTTGCAGGAAAATTACAAGCACGTAAGTTTAAAAAGGAACTATTTTAGAAATATCATTTGACTCAGTAATTCCACTCGTAGGAATTTACCCAAAGAAAACAAGATTTCTGGTTTGAGAAGACATATGCACCCCCACGTTTATCACCACACTGTTTGCAGTAGCCAAGATATGGAAGCAACCTAAGTGTCCTTCAGTAGGTGAATGGATAGAGAAGATGTGGTACATATACACAATGGAATATTTTTCAGCCATAAGAAGAAAACAAATCCTACCATTTGCAACAACATGGATGGATCTGGAGGGTATTATGCTCAATGAAATAAGCCAGGTGGAGAAAGACAAGTACCCAATGATTTCACTCACATGGAGTATAAGAACAAAGAAAGAACTGAAGGAACAAAACAGCAGCAGACTTCACAGACTCCAAGAAGGGACCAGCAGTTAACAAAGGGAAGGGGTTGGGGAAGGTGGGTGAGGAGGGAGAAGGGAATTAAGGGGCACTGTAATTCACAGTCACAATATACATAGATCACCGGGAAGGCAGTACAGCATGGAGAAGACAAGTAATGACTTTATAGCATCTTACTATGCTCATAGATAGTGACTGCAATAGTCAGGGTGAGGACTGGATAATATAGGTGAATGTTGAAACCACAATGTTGTTCATGTGAAACCTTCATAAGTATTTATCAATGATACTTTAATAAAAAAAGCTATTTTGCACTTTCTTTGCAATTCATTAGGAACAGCAACACCCTGCAAACTTGAAAATCTGCATATAACTTTTGACTCCACAAAACTTAGCCCACTGTTGACCAAAGTCTTACTGATAACATAAACAGTAATACATATTTGTATATGTATTATACACTCTATTCTTACTACAAAGTAAGCTAGAGAAAAGGAAATATTTTGCAAATTGTCACTAATCTCCCAAAAATGTTTCCAATATAGTTATTGAAAAAAATCTGTATATAAATGCACCCACACAGTTAAAGGGTTAACTATCATTTTTTCTCCAAAAAGAAATCTAGCTCTTATCATACTGTGGTTAGCATACTAATATTTATCAAAAGTCTTTCTGATCCCTTAGGTCTTCTCTTTTTACAAGACTCAAAGAACAATTAAGATGGAGGAAAAGAAAAATAAAGAGTGATTAATATGTTGAAGGCAGAGTGTTAAGAGGATGGACAGCTACCAGCAAGGTTAAGATGTCCATACCCATCAGTGGATGTAGTTGATATGGAGAAACGGTAAAAAAAAAAATGACATCCCCTCCCAGATTCCAAAAAAGTGATTGTGGCTCCTATGAAGATCCTAAGGATAGAACCAGAGATGAGACTTCCTTTTGAACTGTATACTCATTCCTGCTCATTTTTGTTAGTCAATGCAAAACCCATTTTATTTTTTAATACTAAGTTCATTTAGTTTCTGTTTTCACTGATGCTGTATACAGAATGGGAAAACAAAATTCAGGTGCTAGCACTGTCAAGACCTTTTTAAAGGAGCATTATTTACCTTATGAAAGTAATTCATCTGCTTCAAAATAAGAACATCAATTTTCTTTTTACTTGTCAGAATCTTCTAAAAGTCATTCAAGTAACTTGCAAAAGCTGATAAAAATGTTAACACAAACTGAACATGGGGCAGTTCCACTAAGCATGCCGAGATTAACTGCACAAAAAGTACTGTTTCAATTATTAAGGCCACTAGGACCTCAGTCAAGGGCAACATCTAGCAGTGCTTATCTATACTCTTAAGAATACAGTAACTCAAAATGGCCATCCTGGCCAAAGCAATATACAGATTCGATGCAATCCCTATCAAATTACCAACAGCATTCTTCAATGAACTGGAACAAATAGTTCAAAAATTCATATGGAACTGTCAAAGACCCCAAATAGCCAATGCAATCCTGAGAAGGAAGAATAAAGTGGGGGGGATCTTGCTGCCCAACTTCAAGCTCTACTACAAAGCCACAGTAATCAAGACAATTTGGTACTGGCACAAGAACAGACCCATAGACCAGTGGGACAGAACAGAGACTCCAGACATTAACCCAAACATATATGGCCAATTAATATTTGATACAGGAGCCATGGACATACTCCTTGTATGTCAGTCTCTTCAACAGATGGTGCTGGCAAAACTGGACAGCTACATGTAAGAGAATGAAACTGGATCACTGTCTAACCTCATACACAAAAGTAAACTCCAAATGGATCAAAGACCTGAATGTAAGTCATGAAACCATAAAACTCTTAGAAAAAAACATAGGCAAAAATCTCATGGACATAAACATGAGTGACTTCTTCATGAACTTATCTCTCCGGGCAAGGGAAACAAAGGCAAAAATGAACAAGTGGGACTATATCAAACTAAAAAGCTTCTGTACAGCAAAGGACACCATCTATAGAACAAAAAGGTATCCTATTGTATGGGAGAACATATTCATAAATGACAGATCCGATAAAGGATTGACATCCAAAATATATAAAGAGCTCACACGCCTCAACAAACAAAAAGCAAATAATCCAATTAAAAAATGGGCAGAGGAGCTGAATAGACAGTTCTCTAAAGAAGAAGTCCAGATGGCCAACAGGCACATGAAAAGATGCTCCACATGGCTAATCATCAGAGAAATGCAAATTAAAACCACAATGAGATATCGCCATCAGCGAAAAGACAAACAACAACAAATGTTGGCGAGGTTGTGGAGAAAGGGGAACCCTCCTACACTGCTGGTGGGAATGTAAACTAGTTCAACCATTGTGGAAAGCAGTATGGAGATTCCTCAGAATGCTCAAAATAGAAATACCATTTGACCCAGGAATTCCACTTCTAGGAATTTACCCTAAGAATGTAGCACTCCAGTTTGAAAAAGACAGATGCACTCCTATCTTTACGCTGCACTGTTTACAATAGCCAAGATATGGAAGCAACCTAAATGTCCATCAGTAGATGAATGTATGAAGAAGATGTGGTACATATACACAATGGAATATTATGCAGCCATAAGAAAAAAAATCAGATCCTACCATTCGCAACAACATGGATGGAGCTAGAGGGTATTATGCGCAGTGATATAAGCCAAGTGGAGAAGGACAAGTACCAAATGATTTCACTCATATGTGGAGTATAAGAACAAAGGAAAACTGAAGGAACAAAACAGCAGCAGAATCACAGAACCCAAGAATGGACTAATAGTTACCAAAGGGAAAGGGACTGGGGACGATGGGTGGGAAGGGAGGGATAAGGGTAGGGAAAAAGAAAGGGGGCATTACGATTAGCATGTATAGTGTGTGGGGGGGCATGGGGAGGGCTGCGCAACACAGAGAAGACAAGTAGTGATTTTACAGCATCTTACTATGCAGATGGACAGTGACTGTGAAGAGGTAATGTGGGGGGGATTTGGTGAAGGGGGAACCTAGTAAACATAATGTTCTTTCTGTCATTGTAGATTAATGATACCAAAATAAAAAAAAAGAATACAGTAACTATATGATGCCTGTTTATGAATTATTCCTATGTGTTTATTCAATTTGTTTTCTCAAGAATTTCACAGGGCTTTTAAAAAAGAGAAGACTCCAAAAGGGGGTCATAGAGGAATGAGCTCTGTGATCAATATAACAAAGCAGGAGTAAAAATACGAATGTCAAAGGCCAATAGAATGAAGATGGGAAGATATTAAGCATCATAAAAGACCTACTGTTAATTAGAAGTAGCTATTTCATGTTTTTACATAGACATATGGATTAGAACAATAGGAAGCCATGCAAGTAGAGCTGACAAAGAGGCAAGGCTTTCTCAAAGGCAGCATAAGGTCAAGGGTATGAATTTTGGAGCCTAGCAGAAGAGGATACTTTGAGCCACAGCTCTGCTACTTAACTAGCTGACAAGGTACTCTTGCTATGGTTTGGCTGGTTTCCTATTTTATTAAATAGGCATAACATACCTACAAGTCACAAGGTTAAGAGATAATATATGTAAGATATCAGTACAATGCTTGGCACATCAGAAGCACTAAATAAATGGTAGTTACTATTACTACTTTTCTTTAAGTATCTTAATACTTAAAAATAATGGTGGGCTCTGATCTGCTTTTCCCTAATTTTTAAAGCAAGCTGGTATGAGCAAAGAATTAGGAACTATATTTGGGTCCTTAAAAGATGAAAACAACCATTAACAACCAAAGGCATAAGCAACTCTTTTTTTCCACAACAAATTACCACCCTACTGGAAAGATCTTCTGCAGTGGCAATCCCTTCTACTTTACTAGTAAGTACTTATTTTGTTTTAAACATTTCTGAAATGAAATTTACTTCAAAACTTATTTACATAAATGTAGTACCTTTGCTTCACTGCTTACAACTGGTTTTACTGGGAACTGGACCTCTGTGGCTTTTAATATTGTATTTTCTTGAAGAATGTCTTGTTGAGATTGATTGTGACCAAATGGCTATAAAAAAGAAAGAATGTTGAGAAGTTTACCTCACAAAAATTTAGACCCAGAAATGACTAATGAATTCCCAAGATATAAATTGTGTGTTCTAAAAAATCTTGTCCTCATTTATTCGGAAGTTGGGATGCATTCTCAGACAAACAGGTTATAACTGACAGCAGGCTGAGAGAGCTCATCTAATCAAGTCTCAGCATAGGTGAAACACTAAATAAGTATAGAAAATATTGCTTTTGCAATGTAAGTAATTAAGACAAAAAACATTAAAACTTTCATCAAACTTCACTTTTTAAACATTTAGAATAGAGAAGAGATGAAGTACTGAAAACATCTGTGAAAAGTCCAAAGAACAAAATACTCTGAGCATGATGTACCACTTAAATGAAATGGCTCTCAGTTGGCCCTAACTTGCAGTACATTCCCAGACAGATCCCTTAACTTCTCTTTCCATACTGATGAAGGGATGGGATGGGATGGGGACTGGATAATATCTATAGTTCTAACTTCAATATAAAGAGAAGTTTGGGAAGAATATAGACTAAGAGTGATGTGATTTTCTTGAGGATGCACAGGGAGAAACCATGCCCAGGTCAAACTGCACATGTGGGCTGGGGCAGAGGATGCGAGCAAGTGGAAAGAAAGGGGGACAATGAAAAAGTGTTTTGACTCCATGATCCTAACAGTAGAAAATGTAAGCATTGTTAACTGATATAGTTACTTTTCCCTAAATTATGAGCAAAAAGCAGGGCAAGCAAATTTTGTAACATTAAAATAATTCTGATCTTGGGAATTTTATAAAGCTGGCTTTCCTTAGAGGTTCTAAACTGACCTCAAGTTAATGAAACTTTAAGAGGGAGAAACTGAACTCAGCTCTGTATAGCTGAATCTGGCATACTTTAACTTACCTTTCTACCATAAAGACACTGAAAGAAGATTACTCCAACTGACCACACATCAACCTTGTTGGAAATCTTTGGTGGTTCTTTTCCAACTACAAAACATTCAGGAGGTAAATACCTACAGTTTTTTGGGGGAGAAAAAAGGAAAGGACACTATTAACAATCTGTAACTTAAAGCTTTCTAAATGTAAATCTTAGAACACTCATTTTATCCATACACAAACTTAGAATTTTCATCAGTGAAAATTATCAGACTTGAAGCATTTATATATATCATTTGACTTGAGCCAGAATATACAACTTTGTGGTAAAGAATGCTATAAAAAATATATGCAAAATACACATATGTATGTTATGTACAGAAATGGAAAATTATCATTAGAAATTATAATGTTCTAATTGGAGTCAGTAATAAGGGTAAGGAATAATAATTCCCCCTTCACCAGCACTCAAACTGTAGGCAGTTTTCTTCATAAAACACCTACATGTTTCATCAGGTGGTTCTTTTGTTTAAAGAAACTCAGCATCATTCACTGCCAAGGCTAAGGCATTCTTCTCTCTTCTGTGACCCAAGACTCATTCTAATCTATCTAGCAGCAACTTAATTAAGTTCAGGACTCCAACTTAACTCAGAATAAATCTGCCCACACTGCTCTTTACTGCCTCCATGATTTTGAATGTGACAATCTCTAATGCCTTCCCTGACTGCTGTAATCCACATTGTGAGCACCTTTTCTTTTTTAAAAACTACCCAAACTTCTAGGTCATCTCTGCTTCCCCATGTAATCATTGGTTGTTTTGACACCTCTATTATGGCATTCACTAAAATCACACTAGAGTGTGAGGAACTCAAGGAGCTCTTAGTGTGCAGTTTCAAACACCAGCACTACCTGAAATATTTTGGATATTCCAAAATATTTTTTATCTTAGATAAAGGAAAGGTAAAAATAAATCTGTTACCTTAGGTTATATGTAAAAAGATCCATCAGGGATGCAAGCATCTCACACCTCAAAAATTTGTAACTAAAAATTATGAAAAGAATAATACAGCTTACTAGGAATCTACTCTTTTCTTTAGTTTTATGCTATGCTAAAATCATTTAATTTGAGCAGGATGTTGACAGGTCTCTTAAAAAAAGAGACCACATGAAAATTCTTGAAGTAGAAGCATCAAAGATGACCAATAACTTATTTGTGATGTAAATCCTGTGGAAAACCAGATTGCTCTATGAATAAAAGTATGTGTTTTGTGTAGGCTTATGTGCGTGTAACTGAAATAAAAATGGCTCTTAAACACTATGCTATACCATCTTTAAAGGCAAATGGGTGTAAGCAGGGAAAGGAACTGTAGGAATAGATGCCATAGCTTTATAGGAAAAAT